CAGAACATACTTTTACTGCCTAATAGCTCAGTGATGCTTAAATATGATCCAAAACCATCATTATTTTTATCTGATTGGACTCGTCTCTGTTAGGAATACCATAGCTCTTAAAGCTACTGAGCTCATACAGAAGCCACCAAACAACACTTCATATTTTGCTCCTTATCAGCTCTGTCTGTATCTGATAATCCCCTGTGCAGGTAAAATTACTGACAGCTCATATAGCTCATCCCCAGTCCTCTGAGATTTCCTCTCTCCTGCCAGGCACCATGTTTCAGAGAATCATTTGGATGAGTGGGGTTGCTTTCTCAGTGTTGATCTGTTCCAGCAATTAACACAAAACACTGTTTATTTGGAGTTCAGGCAGCCAAGACTGCTGCTGTGTTCTAGTGCTTTCCAATTCTGAGAATGCTTTCTAATCCTGACTGTTTCCCAGCTAACAAGCATACCATATGTCTGATTACTCAGGTTCCCATGTAAAATAGGAAATTAAGAATTCCAGATGATTAACAAACATTTCTCTGTGTTTATTTTGAGATGACCCTTTTAAAATACCATAAAAAAATTTAGGGACCTGTTTCTCAAACATTTACTTTACCACTTTATCATTTAGCTGTATAAGAGGATATTTTCATTAAGAATGTGCTGTTTGTGTTTTTTAAATTACGATTTATTGACAAAGATTTGCCAGCAGTAAAACATCTGCAAATAACAGTTTAAAGACAGTGGACAAAAAAAAAAGGGGATAATTCAGTTGTAGAATCTGGGCCGAGGTGGGGATTGAGTGACCAGGGAAAAAACATGCCAGAAAGACTTGAAACACCAAAGCCCAAAGTATGATGCAAAGTGGACCACCACCAACAGTCTCTGATCTCTTAGCAGGATGTCAGCCAGGAGGAGCAGGCCGTGTAACTTGTGATTCAGTCCAACACAGCATCACAGCCAGGGCAATGGTCGGGATAGGTCACCCCTCTGGCAAGCAGAGACATCCCTAAAGGTAGAGCTGCTTTCTATTAATTTATAGATTCTGTGCATACATTTGGTTGTGAGCGGACTGGCTCTGTGTATCTCAGTCTGGCTTGTGCAAGGGGCAGGAGGCTGTTGAGAAAACCAAGTGTGAGAGAACCAACCACTTGAGTTAAGGCGTATCTCTGGGAGTGCTTGAAGGAGGGAAAGGAGATGGTGCCCATGCAGAAAAAAAAAAAAGCCAGTCTCTGCATGTCAGAGCAGATACAGCATTCTAGTTGGGAACATCAGAGGGGGCAGAGAGTGGGGGAAGGCTGGGAGGCAGGAGCTCTGAGGTCAGCAAGCCCGCCGATTAACCCTTGTCTAATATCCTTCCCCAGAGGGGTTTGTCCTTGCTACCACTTATGTATTCAATCACACCCATGAAGATGCATTGGTAGTAAAGAAGCCTCCCTTAGTTTAAAAGTAGCATTCAGTAACTATAAAGTGTCTGTTCTGAGCTCTGGCTGCTGGGCTGCATCCCTCCTGCCTCATGTGAGCTACCCCCACTCATTGCATCACATCTAAAATTAACAAAGATGCTGTATCCTGGGAAGCACACTGCTCAGTGGCTCTGAGCTGCAACAGACAGAGCAAGTGTAGCTGTGTAGGTCCCTAGGTGGAAAGATGTTTTCTTTCCACTTGATGATGATCAGAAGTGTAACAGGAAGAGGTAAGGCATCATTCAAATCCAGGAGCTCTGGTTCGGCCGAAGGCAGAAAACAGGAACTAGTCCTATTTCTTATGGTAGGTCTCTGTCTTGCTGTTTTCTCAGCAACACGAGGTACCTGGGGGCAGCTGTCAATAGCTGCTCTACAGAGAACTAGTTGGGCCAAATTCCCCTCTGATGCAATTGCCCTACTTTTGTTGTAACTGTACCAATGATGAATGTGCCTCCTCTTTACTTAGGAACAAGAAAAGAGTGCATGAGATTAAACATCCTTTCAGTGTTTTCCTTCTGATTAATGTGACTTTTAGCACACAGAAAATGCTGTAGGCTTAAGAAAAGTTCTGAAGCTTTGCTTCTCCTGCCCAGTCTCAGCTATTAGCACCCCTGCAATGTACTTTAGAAGTCTGTATTTCCAGTGTGCTGCTACTACTTAAACATCTGGCACACTTAAAATTCATATTTCAAATCCACTAATCTGGGGGGAGAGGGGTTAAGATGTGAAGCTAGACAAAAGCAAACTAGGGGAGAAGATAAACTCTGACAGATGCTGTAAGCAGCCAGGAAGCACAAGAACTGTCAGTCTGCATGCTGGATTTGAGCCGAACCAAATCACAGAAGCAGTTTTTCAGTACTTGGTCTGAAAGCAATTTAGCTTTTCTGTGTTAGCGGATTATGCTGTTTTCAACAGTTGTTGGAGAGATGAGTGATGAAAAGCGTTTTTATTCTGGGTATGTTTCCAAGTACAGAATGCTCTTGCATTCAAACCCGTCTTCTTGCCCTAATCTCTCCTGAAGCTGAGAGGGGATGTGGTCTGTCAAACTCTGCACAGCACCATCCCCTCAGCCCAGCCTCAGGGCTGCTTTGGGGACCCCAGGTTTTTGGGTCTGGAATGGCTTTGAGTTTTTCCAGGGAGAAGAAATCAGTAGAAGGTGGCGGCTGCATCCTTGCAGATGGTATGTTGGTGCTGAGCAGGGACTTCAGGACTGGGCATCCTGAACCTGGCTCACACTCTGGACTGAGCCCATGGGTACATGAACTGTCACGTAATAACTGATACTATTACTGTCGTGTAAGCACTGACAGTGCCATCTGTCCTTGTGTCCAGCTGGGTTTGGAGGCTGGTCTGTGATAGCTTTAAATCTGGGTACAAACCAGCACCACTCATGGGTCTGGTGTAGGTTAAACACTGCAAGGCAGCACTTGGGAGCAGCAGTAACACTTCCAGAGTTTGTAAATGATGAACCACAGAAGAGGACAATCAATAGCAAAGCCAATGTGCTAAGTTTGCAGTAATGGCATTTCTTATGTGACCTGTCCCCCTTTCCTCTGGAGTCAACAGCAACTAGAGAGCCAACCAGAAATCAAAGGATGTCAAAAACCTGCGCTTATACACATCATTTAATCTTGTTTCTGTTGCCTATCATTTTTGGTAGAAAGGATACTTTTAGTAAAATAAACACCCCCACATTACTTCAGCTACCACCTGCCAAAAGTAATGCATGGTCTTACAGAAAATGATGCAGAAATTCACAAACACACTAGTTTTCTGCAGGTAGCAAGTTGGTTTTTTTTCCACTGGAACAATGGTATCTGGAGCCCTAATTGTGTTTTTAATATCAAACATGATTTTTTGAGCCTTCTTACACTAGCTCACTTACCAGAACTGCACTAAGCCTCTACTCCCAAACCCACCACCTCTAATAACCCAGGGACCATGTTTCCTATTGTGGTATCGGTGACCTTGTCTAATGATTCTTCACAGGGGAGGTTTAGCTCAGTCCTTCAAGTACTGCAGCAGCTCTGAACCTCAAAGTCCACAACAGGAAACGTTAACAATGGCAGGATTACTGGACCCTGTGTTACCATAAAGTAAACGAGCAAATGAGAGGGACTTTAGGGAACAGCAGCACCATGATTAGGTAATGGGAGGGACTGACTTACGAGAAAGGACTAAATGAGCTAAGCGATGACGAAAGGGTGAACAGCAGAACTGCCTGCGAATGTTTGAAAGAAGAAACCATCCAGAACAGGGAGGGATTCTCAAAGCTGCTGCCAGGAGTTGACAGTAATGGAAAGAAACCAATAAAATGAAGGCAGCAGTCACCATAAGCATTTCTGTAGCTCAATAAAACCACCCAACCTGGTGCTTTTGTCCATATGGAAACCTTGCTCATTTGCCCCGTTTTATTCCTCAGCCATATCCCCAAAGCATGGGGCTAACACTTATAATTATGTCACGGTGCAGTATTGCTGACATCTTTTAGGCTGGCAGCTCTGAAGGACTGTGAGGGAGCTATGCCAACAACCTCCTCATTTCTTGAGGTGCCTCAGAAAGCCTCCAGGCTTTGGCTGAGGGAAGCAGTCCTGCACTGCAAAGCACTCCAGCAAACACTTCAGTCAGACGATGAGCTGGACTCCCACAGCTATAAATCACACCAGTGATTCCCACATGAGGACCCTGAGTATGCCCTCAGTGGTCCCTGAAGCAGACGGGTCAGAAAGCACACGGGAGTCAGAATTACCCACAGCTCTCCATGGCAAGCCTTCAGTCTGCATCCCAATCTAGTTAATATCCTGGCAGCAAAACAGCTGTGAGGCCTCATGTTGTATTTGTTTCCATTAACTCCCCCCCCAGCGGGCTTATATGTTTGTATTTGTTTACATATTTGTACTGTCCCCAAGGGATACTCAATACTACCCCTAAGGTTCGGGCGAGTCATTAGAGGGCAAGTACCTCCCTCTGATGTTGAACTTGTCCCGTCTCTTCCTTCTGATAGAGATGTAAATCTTTCTTGGAAACGCTGGACAAAAGTCCCTTCAAATATGTGGTTTCTTTCCACAGCAGTTTTCAGTCTGCGCTTTTTGAATTGTTGGGCCAGGAGTTTGTGTTTCCAATTGTCGCTCTCCGAGACGCTTGTCTGTTGTTAATGGGATCCCAGCCGCTTTACAGCCTGCTCTCTTTATAGTCTCCCCAAGGCCCCGTGCCTTGAGGTTGAGGGCTTCCCATCACAATTAGCTCTGCCACCACCCCCCTCGGGGCTCCGTTACACCGACTTCACGCCGCATCTATTCAGCCGGCGCCCACCCCGCCGCTCCGCCCGGGGATGCCGCGGGCCCTCCCGGCGGTCTCGGCGGCCGCTTCCCGCTAGCTAGACCCGGGGGAGGCCTGCGGGGCGGCACCTCCGCCTCCGGTACTGCTCTGCTCTGCTCTGCCCGACCGGCGCCCCCCGGCCGCCGCCTGCGTCAGGCCGCAGACGTGGCCCCGCGGCGGCGGGGGGCGGAGCAGCAGCGGGCGGAGCGCGGCTGCGGGCGGCCTGGCCTCCGCTCCGCTCCCCGCCCCGCCCCGCCCCGCCCGGCACGGCACGGCCCTGCCCGCCGCGCTCAGCCCCGCACCGCGGCATGACCGCGCTCCCGCACGGCTGCCCCTGACCCCGCGCACCCCGCCAGGTAAGAGCCACCGGCTGCCTCCTCCCGGCCGTCCGCGATGCGCTGGGGAGGGGGCCGCGGAGGGGACGGGGCCCGGCGCTGCGCTCCGGTAGGGAGGGAAGGGGAGGCGAGACCCGGCAGCGGCTGCGGGATTGCACTCTGCACGCCGGTGGTATCGGCGGTGCTGCCCCATCCCTGCGCAGCACCGGGGGAGACAAACTTTATCTGGGCTCGCCGGAGCCCCGTCCCTCCCCATCCATCCCCTGCCGGGCCGCGGCGCTCGGGCGGCCCCAGGGGTGCCCCGCGGGGCGGCGGCCCGGAGCCAAGCAGGGCTTCCCGGCAGCGGGGCCGGGAAGCAGTCGCTGTGGAGACGGGCGCATTGAGGGAAGCCCTTGGCGGTGTTTTCCCCCTAGGAAAGAAGCGCAAACCCAGCGCAACCCATCCCGCGTTACAGGGAGGCGGCGGCAGCGCTGTGCGGGCAGCGCGGTCCCTCGGCGGGGTGCTGGTTGAGGGTGCCAGCGGGTCCCTGTCACCGGGCCGGGGGGGAGCGCAGCCCCCGATGGCACTGCGAGGCTCTGACGTGCCCCTGGCTCTGCTTTCGAAGAGATTTGAGGAGGAAAAAGAAGCCAATCCTGATCTGAAATCGGTTCAAAGCCAGCTCTGCCTTGTCGCAGTGTGATGGGTGGTTTTGTTCATTATTCACGAAATGCAGTTTGTCCAGTTCACTGGAAAGAGTTGACCAAGCAAAATGAGAGGCTTACGAAAGACTGCCGAGTGCATCCTGCTAGAATTTCTCCAGGATGAAAACGTGTAAAAGTGAGGGGTTTTATTGCCCAGATCAGTGTGTGAGCTAGGCTTGCCTTTGGTAATTCTTTTACTTTCGGAATAAGTACTTTCTGTGAGGAAAGATTCGGTATTATGAGCAGCACTGTTTGAAAACAGTGTTTACTCCCACAGAGCGCTGTAGGCTTGAGTGATGCTGTGGAACATTGGGCAGGCAGAAAGGTGCTTTGCAAGGTAGTGGAGGAAAAGATAGCGACACTGGAAATTAATAATAATTAAAATATCTCCCTTCCCAATTCAACCAAGTTTGCACATTTCCCTCCCCCTGCTTCTACTTTTCTTTTTGGCATGATGAAGGCAGTCTGGGGGGTAGCACTCACTCTTCTGGATATGCCTCTTTGCCCATGCGGTTCAGACCAGCATCAGGAGCTGGGCTTAGCACAGGTCCGAATGATCCCTAATTTTAACCTGGCCTTGGGTTCCTTCTGTCTTGTAAGTGCCATGTAGCTGCCAGCAAGGCGCAGCAGCCTGGTGCTGAGCACCTGTGGTTTGTGAATCATTTCCTTTTCCAGTTGCGTTCTGAGTTTGTTACATGTGTGGCCACGGGGATGCTGTTTTTTTCCAGTCTGAATGCTAACGAGCCCTGCTGGAGGCTTACTGTAACGTAACTTTCTGTGGGCTTTTTGTTATTTGCTCTTGTAAGTGACTTTAGAAAGAAACTTCTGATGGAAAGCCTAAAAATGTAGTTACTTTGTGTGACTGGTATTGGGAAAGGCCAGTGCTGGTTGGCAGTGAGCAACAAAACCAGAGAGTGCTGAATTCTTCGCGCGAGTTCCTTGCCTCAGTGCTTGATGAGTGCTTGCAATGAGTTCCCGTACCAGTTGGAGCTGATTTCCTCTCGCATCTGGGTTTTGAGGCCCACGATGAGGGGCTCTGAGGGAGTAGAGAGGGTGATACAGTACTCAGGTGGCCTCAGCACCAGAGTGACACACAGCAAGACCCAAAATAAGGAATTGGGTCAGAGTGCTGGGAGGAGCAGTTCCCCTGATTGTCCATTGACCTCAGTTGCAACAGTTGAAGTGGCCCCTATTCAGAACCAGAAAGGCACTTCCCAGAACAAGGCTTTTTGAATGCTGCGGGAAGTAGAAAGCATTTCCATTACTGTCCAAACAATTCACAATAACAGGAGCTAGCATTTGATTTTACAGGACTTCTTTTCCTCTGTGAGAGAATTTAGTGAAAAGGTATTGTCCTTGCTGTCACAGAGCTGTGCAGGGCAGGGGAGGGACTGTGTATGAAAGGAAACCCTGAAAATGAAACAGTTTACCTCAGGGAAAACAAAAGAGAACCTCCACATTTCCTTAAAAACCTTAGTTAGTAGAGCAGAGAAGCCATTCTCCTTCCAGAGTGATTTGCCAGAAGAACGTTAACAACTGTTGGATTTCACATGCTCAACATAATGGAAACTTTACTCTCTTCTTCATACCTAAGCTGTTTGCCCAGGGATTTTTTGTGACAAAACTGGTGCGGATCCAAGCTATAGTGCAATGACTTGTGTTGGGGTTGGCGTTTCTGAGATCTCTTTCCCACTGGGAGGATACTGGGTTTGATTCACTCTCTCAGGCATGTGTGAGTATGCCCTTTGCTCCACTGCTTTCATTCATAATGCAGGGCAGGCATCACTGGCTTCCAGGCAGGGAAAGCATCTTAGAGCTGTCTTTAAACCTGACAGAGCCTGGCTCAGCTTTCCTGCACTGTATTCATCCTAGTGCCTGACACAAGCAATTAATCAGACGCAGCATAAGCTTTACAACTGCAAACTTTCTGTATCATCCAGAAAGCCATAGGCTTGGATCAGGATGGTATTTCCAGACAATTTTCTAGTCTGGAGGTTGTGTCCACTCTGTTCCCATCTCCTGTGAAGGGCTGATTTACAGTCTAATGTTCAATCAGGTCAGGTTTTTAAAAGGTAGAATAGTGCCATGTGTGTGCTTTGCACATTTTCCATTTGCTTGGGAGAAGCCTTCATTAAGATACAGTGCATGGGTTTTCCTTAGTTTTAAAGTACGGCAAAGGCACCCAGAGGTGCAGATTGGCATCTTTCTGCATGGAAAGTTGCTGTTGCTGCTATCATGGTGAGCACAAAGTTCTACTGAGTTTGAACCAGCATAAATGAAAACACTTGGGCCTGTAAAGTAGCATTAAAAATCCATTTCTCACTCTCAAAGTAAATTTTAACTTTTCCATTGGCTTTCAGGTGAGCAGCATCCAGCCTTTTGTACCAACTTCAGATCCTGGGGTAAACCACTATTAGCTGAAAACAGAGATGCTAGCTTACATCTCCCTTCAGTGGCAATAGCGCATAGTGATTCTGTATTGATGGGAACCCCAAATTCCGCGAGCCAGCAATACAATAAGACTGCTGAAATGCTGAGAACATTTCCAGTTTTACTCACCCGGCATTGAAAGCAAGGTGGGATTTTTGGATTAATTGTTTGCTCTGGAGCACATGGGGAAGCAGAGCACAAGTCAAGCCTTGCCTGGAGCATGCAGTGGGGTAAGATCCAGACCTAAGTGTGCTTCACAGCAGAATGCAGCAGCTCAGAAGTGCAGGTTGCTGTCTGCGAGCAGGTTTGGTGTTTTGAGCACCGTTAGAGATCTCATGTTCCTGTTGATGTGAATGAGCTCTCTCAGGGGTAGATAGTTTTCATGGATGTTCACAGACAATGTTTCTGGAAAAGCCTTTTGTAAAGTGTAATGTGATTTAAAAAAAGCATTTGCTCTTTGCCATCATTTACCCATCACAGCATAATTTCAAAGACCTGCACACCCACTCTAGTGTGGTCAGACACCCGCCTCAGCAACAGCTTTGATCTCACAAAGTTAAGGCTTGATGGAAACAGCCTTTCTTTCTGTTTTGTGATGCAGCTACAGACTTCTTGGTGGAACAAGTTTAGAGCTAATTCCCCTTCAGTGGACCATGGCTGGACACTTGGAAAGTCCTATAGGGAATTTAGGCAGATACTTCTGGTATTCCACATCTCTGAAGTTTATGATCCTTTAAAGTCATCTTATGTGAACAGGTTCTGTAACTTCATATTTATCTGTGAGTATGTGTAGAACACATCAATTTAATGTGCTTGGATTTACTTTCTTATTCTTTCAGGTGTACGAATGACACTATGAGCTTTATTTTTATTGTCAGGGATTTCTTGTCACAAAAGGTGGTTCAGGGGGAAGAAAACTCATCAGCTGTGTTTTGGGCTGAGAATACCTGTGTGTTTATCCAGGCACTTTGGGGGCCGTGGTTTATGAGGCTATTGCAAAGTGTAGAAGGCTCTCTTGTGTAGTGTGCAAGTAGGAGCAGAAAAGATCCTTTATATGAGAAGGTCTCACAAATGGTGAAAACAGGCATTTCTTTACTGGTTTTGGCTGAATCACTGCATAAAAAGTTTTTAACTAACTTTTCAGATGGTTGAGCTGCTTAAGGCTCAGAATGGACCCTTTGTGCTTCCTGTCCCAATTAGGAATTAATTTTTAATTACATAAGCTGAACTTTCTTATTATGAGCACTTTTATTAGCCTGAGGCCCCTAACTATTCCTTTGACAACAAAGGCACTGGTTTGTGTAATACTGCCTGTCCTTTGACATGCTACAGCATTGTTTCTGTCTTCATTATCTGAGTGTGTTAAATAAGCGTTTGTGGAAACCCTGGTGCAACTTTGATTAAAGCTCGATGTGAGTTTACTTTTCTCAACCATTAAGACATATTTCAGGAGTACTAAAATACCACTTGCTGGGCAGTTTCTTGCTCAGTGCTTTGATTCGCTGCTAAAAGTTTTCACTGGCATTAAGAACATTTTGCAGCTCTGGAAAGAGGGCCAGGAGCTTGAGTGATAGCCTTGATAAACCAAGAATGTTACTCCCAGAGCTGAAAAATGGAAAGTATTGCCTTTGAAGTAGTCTTTGACATGGAAATGCAGAGTGTACTTTCCTTTAGATTTGGACAAATAGCTCAGCAAAGCCAAAGCTCCACATAGGCCTATGTGATTTCATGGAGACTTTATCTGGCTGAATGTGGCCCTAAACATTTTTCGGCCTCAGTCTAACCAAGTTGAAGTCAAAGAGCTGCTGACAGTAGGAAGCCTTTTTGGTGTGTAATGCTTGAAAGAGTACCGTGACTCACTTGGAGCAAACAACAAGGTTATTGTCTGGGATCCGTCACCAAAACTGCACT